ATATATATATATATATATATATATATATATATATATATATATATATATATATATTCTCATTTGTTGTTATTGACAAGTTTCAATAAAACTATTTCATATTGTTTTTTCCTTCTTATATAGACTCTCTGATGCATAGTAACTGTACTATTATTAAAGGATTAACATTTTATAAAACAATTGAAATAAGATACCGTATACATAATAAATTTCCATGGATTTGATATTAGCACTGGATGCTTCTGAGGCATATATTCAAGATCATGGAAAAAGAAGAATAAAATGCCTAAATGAGACATTTTCAAAAGTAAAGTGAAGTATTAACTTTTGAGTATCTGTGAAAACAAGTTTTACCAGAATTGGAACTTAATCCCTCCATATAGTCTTGATACATCCTTGATAACAGAATACTAACTGAATCAAGTAAAACATTGAAAATGAAGGTAAATTTTTCATAAATTATTGGCCTCTCAGTAGAAATAGCAACAATCGAAACGTCATATCTGCTATGAAGAATGCTAGCGGCAAAATATCTAATGGTATGATCTGATGAAATCAATATTTTTAATTTATACTTGATTTCCTAACACATATGGTTTTATATTATGGAGGACAAAATTAATTATTTTTAAGATAATACAGTTCTTCCAAAGATTACACTGATTGAGCTGTTTATCTAACTGCATGTCTATCTCTTCAGGAAATAATATATTGATTATGTACCATTTAGCTGATGGTGACTCCTAGCGACCACATAGATAGGCTTTTTACAGGATGCTCTACCCCCAACATGGTCTTTCAGGTTTTCCAATGATACACCCACAACTGTTTACAAGAAATAATATATATGGTTGAACTATATTCCCCTTCAAGTCTTGCTGAGCTACCTCATTGGGAGGCAAGAGGGGTTCCTGGGAGGAATAAGCAAAGAACCGTATGAGGAATTACACATCACCACAATGAGGCACTACAGCAGGACTGAAAAATGAGGGTGCTAGTGGCACCTGCAGAAAAGATATTCGAATAGTAATTCCACCTACCTATGAGCTAGCAGGGTAGTACACTGAAAAGAAATCATTTATTTGTTTTCATGTTGTTGTTTTTGCAGAATCTTAATTGAACTGTTTTAATTGGTCTTAATTGAACTATTTATGAAAGCAGATTTTTATAATAGAGAAAGTAAAGTGAAATGCCCTAATCCAGATCAATACACATGTCTTTCAAACTTAATCAAACACACAAGTCTTGGAAATCTATGATATAATTTTCACATTAATTAAAGCTGTCCCTCTTATAACCCATAACATTTTTTTTGAAGATTGTTTAGCCTTATATTCTTTGCTGCTACTGCAAGTAAACCACCTGAATATTAACATAAATATTTATCAGATAGTAAATTGCAGTTAATCTCTGTGGGCGCTTTTGCGCAGGGGTGTCTAACTCACAATGACACATTGTCATCATGTGACGTATCACAACTTTTTCCACCTTTGCTAGACCGGGGGTAGGCATTTGGCCCATGGCCCGCAAGTTTGACACCCCTGTTTTAGCAGATATCTCCCTAATTTGTGAGGTGGCAAACTTCATTTGGAATTACAAGTTACAAAATAATGTCTAATGAATAATGTCTTCCATTGATTGATTGATTGATTGATTTCATTTATATGTCATCCTTCTCGCAGATTCATGACTCTGAGCAGCCCTGAATAAAACCATAAAAAACAGTAATTACACAGAACACTCTACAATTAAAACATTGATATGAAATGGGCTAGAGAGAGAGGGCATTATATGTTACACGCAATATAATCACCTCATTAAGTCTCCATTTCTGTGAGGCCTCCAAGCCTGATTACATAACTAGGTGGTTTTAAGGGACTTCCAGAAGATCATCAAGGATGGGACCAATCTCATCTTGGGGAAAGATTATGTTCTACACAGGGCAGTCATAAAAGCCATTTCTCCTAGGTCCCACTAGATGTAGTTTCTTAGCAGATGGGTCCCATACCATACCTCTTCTGCTAGATATGGGATGATGGAATGAGCAGAAGTACTTGGTGGTGGTTACCAACTAGTTTCACAAATATAAATTGATTGGCATGAAATACTTGCTTATTTCCTATCAAGTAGACATAGGTCATGAACTAAAATTATAATTGGTGCAAATGTGAGTGTATCAATGGTTATACATAAGAAAGCAAGTTAAATATCACCTTACATTTTCCTAGTTATCTAGCTGCTATAAACAGTCTTAAATATTTTCCATGTTGTTGGAAGGAAATTATTGTCAACATGTTTGAGGTTAGTTTTTCCATACAAATATAAGCCCAATGTTTCTTACCAAGATGTTTTAAATAATGCTGATGATCAATGGTTAGACATACTCCTTTTAAAATATTATTCTATTTACCTAACAGTAAGGGAATAAAAATTCCACATCAGCATTAAGTAGAGCATCTGTGTTCAAGATGGGATAAAATATGTCTGACACATTTACTCTGGACTATTTCCAATTGATCCTATTCATTCAAGCCCCATATTTCTATCTCATTATGCATGGAATATATCCTTCATACTAACTGTCCACCATTCCAAGTTTAAACCAATATGGTTCAAACCAAAATTACATAAAGTAGCACTTTTTTAATCATGATACTGTATCCAGTAAGTGGCTGAGGCTACAAAAGAAATCTCTCTATCTACTACATGTATAGAAATAAATACAGGTAGTCCAGAGGTGGTATTCAGCAGGTTCTTAGCACTTCTGGAGAACCGGTAGCAGAAATTTTGAGTAGTTCGGAGAACTGGAAAATACCACCTCTGACTGGCCCCGCCCCCATCTATTCTCTGCCTCCCGAGTCCCAGCTGATCGGCTGGGTCTTCTTTGGTTCCCGTGCAGAGGAGAACGGAGCTGGAAAGCAGGTTAGTGGGGTGGGGAGGGAATGGGGATTTTGCAGTAACTTCCCCTGCCATGCCCACCAAGCCATGCCCATAGAACTGGTAGTAAAAAAAAATGTGAATCCCACCGAAGTAGTCCTTGATTTACAACCACAATTGAGCCCAAAATTTATGTTGCTAAGTGACACAGTTGTTAAGTGAACTTTGCCCTATTTTATGATCTTTCTTGCCACAGTTGTTTAGTGAATCGCTGAAGTTGTTACGTTAGTAACAAGGTTCTTAGGTGAATCTGCCTTCCCCATTGACTTTATTTGTCAGAAGGTTGCAGAAGGGGATCACATGACCCTGGGACACTGCAATCATCATAAATACGAGCCAATTGTCAAGTGTCTGAATTTTGATCACGTGACTATGGGGATGCTGCAGCAGTCATGTGAAAAACAGTCATAAGTCGCTTTTTCCAATGAACGGTCACTAAATGAACTGTTGTAAATTCAAGACTCGCTAAATAAAAATCTTCCCACTCTTCAGGTTCTCAGTCAACTGAGTTTGGATATAACAGCTCTTAGCCAATAGTAACCTATAATATAATAACACATATAAGTCCCACACCACCACTTTCTACTTCTTGATGTTTAATTGCTAGTTTATCAACAACAAGAAAATCTGGAAAATTCAAATTTGCATTATTTCCATGCCAAATCTGACAAAGGGATATCAAATGAAATGCTGGAAAAAACCTGAAGATTTTTCATCCATGCTGCTAAGGAAAAGTTAAGGGAGTTGTGTTTCTCCCACTCATAATCAATTGTAATGCTTCCACTGAAATTTACCTCTGACCACAGTGCCAAGATAACTATTCACATTCAGGTGCCCAAATAGGATTAACTGGACAGCAAGAACATTTATTTATTTATTTATTTATTTATTTGATTTGCCAATTGTTTACAAGATAATAAGTATAAATGTATACATAGTTGTGAATACATGAAATGGTTACATACAAGAAAAATAAAAGAATAGGAGAAACAATAGGACAGGGACGGTAGGCACGTTGGTGCGCTTATGCACGCCCCCTACAGACCTCTTAGGAAAGGGGTGAGGTCAATAGTAGACAGTCTAAGGTTAAAGTTTTTGGGGTTTGGGGAAGAAACTACAGAGTCGGGTAGAGTATTCCAGACATTGACCACTCTATTGCTGAAGTCGTATTTCCTGCAATCAAGTTTGGTGCGGTTTACTTTGAGTTTGTATCTATTGTGTGCTCTTGTGTTGTTATGGTTGAAGCTGAAGTATTCATTGACAGGTAGGACATTGCAATGTATGATTTTGTATACCATGCTTAAGTCAGACCGAAGACGGCGTAATTCAAGGTTTTCTAGTTCTAGAATTTCAAGTCTGGTGGCATAAGGTATTCTACAGTGAGTAGAGGAGTGGAGAACTCTTCTTGTGAAATATTTCTGGACTTTCTCAATTGTGCTAATATCAGATACGTAGTGTGGATTCCAGACTGATGAACTGTATTCGAGTATTGGTCTAGCAAATGTTTTGTATGCTCTGGTTAGTAGTGTGATTTTGTTACTGTATTGTTTATTTCTGAGGAACAGTTTTATTCCCATGTAGTGAGGTGCTCTTTGGAAATCCAATGTGGAAGGAACTTTAATCATCTGTCCTCTCCTACATGGAAATTTTCTTTTTAAACATTCTCCCTTATATGTTTTTCAAAGGCTTTGAATGGGTTAGCTTACATGGAAATAAGAAACAAATTAGAGAAATAGTGAATATAGTAGAATATGTTGGAATGTGAATGGAATTAGCAAAAGTGAATATATTTCAATTTTTCTTGTTCCAATAATATATGTAGCGTTTATGTATCAGACACAGGAGCAATAATTTTAAACAATAACCATTCTTGGCAATCCATGATGTTATTGTCTACTAACCTTTGTAAAATGAAGAACATTTTCCATAAAACATAATTCCTTTGGGACCAGCCATCACAGGATGACATCCCACTTCTAGCAATCTCATTGTTTCCTTGATCTGTCCATTTGATCAGCAAGTAGAAATTAATTTGATTGCTAATTTGCATTTCCCAGGCTAATCCATGAATGGTGATGCACTTGACCTAAATATTGCAGGCTATTATTAAGTTTCTGATGTTGCACTCCAATCAAACTCATTTAAAGTACATACACAGGAGAGCTGATTATTTACAAAAAGTATACTTTTTTGTTGCTTTTGAGGCATTCAAAAGGCAAATAATTCTGGCTTTTACACTTATTAAACAAATGGCATAAGAATCATGAGGAGGGTTTTTCTCTTGGTTGTTTTACTGACACTCCCAGAATAATTACATCTATAGAATCTTTGAGAAGTCTAACATATTCAGGGAGCCCATGGTAATCAAATAATAGTAGCAGATCACAGGCCTACCTAAACGATCAATAACAATAACCTGATACACAACACAAACAATGCAGAAATGGGGCAGAACTTTCTCCAGTATGGATGTAAAAAGCTATAGAAATCATCTATAATTGGGGTAATTCCATGCCATTAATTAGAATACGGGAAATATCTTCCCACACATACTCAACTTTAGCCCTCGCCACATAAAAACTCAACCTTAGATCTTTTCCATGCAAAGCAACAGCCTTACCATTGAGTTATGTTCTCTCTGGACTGTTCTAACCATCAGTCCAGTGACTTGATTTATCTCAAAGGACCTCCACTCTTCAAAGACATCGTTCATTTCCTCAACCTTTCTTAATAAAAGAAAACTCCAAAACCAGATACTTGCCTTTGGGAGGAAAAAAAAGATAAGTCACTTGCATCTCCATTCACTACCACCCAAGAAGTCTGGTCTTCTGTCTGTTTGTCTGTCTAACTCCAGAAACTTCAGAAATAATTCTTTCTGGAAAACACAGTTTCTTAGTAGAAAATTATATTTCTTAGCACCTTCTTATACATCAACAAGTTCTGGAATCAAAATACTTTAGTTTAGTTTTTGAGCAGACTCGAGTTGAGCATAACTAAATGAAGGAGTCAGTTGAAACTGTTAGGTTATTGGCATAAACTAGAAGATGCCCTCCTGTACTGGTTATTCCAAAACTTCTTCAAAGTTAAGACTGTTTTGCTTAAGAGGTTGGCAGGGGAACTCTAGTAGGATATGATGGAAAGGGAACTCTGTTGTTTTGCAGAGAGAGGACTTGTCTTCAGTAGCACTTCCCAAAATTGTTCCATTTCACATTAATCCAGGAAAGATCTGGGAATGGAAGACGTTTCTCTACAAATGCCCTCATGCAACAGTACGTATGTGAGGTTTTTTTAGGCTTAAACACTGCAGATCTCTTAGCCACGATGCACATTCAAAAACTGTGTGCCTCCATCTCCACCCAGTGTGATAGTGATTTTTTCACAATATATTTGTAAAAAAATCTTTGCTAAAAATGTGAGTCATCATACTGCCCTCCCACAACAAAATTAAGTCATTTTTTTTAGGTTCTCCACATCTGTACTAAGACAGTATGTATTTATAAATATGCTAAGTGAAATCGAACAATCTTGAATTCAAATTTTAAAGTGATCGGTTGGTAGCAGGCTACTGGGAAATCTTTCCTTCTCCGTCTCATTTCTGTCTGAAAAATGGGGATAATCTTTACCTCTGTTTTCATTAAGTTCTTGTGGAGCTGCATGACATAGGGAAACCTGGGTACCATCTTGTGGTCAATTGAACCCTCCAAAAAACACATATAAGCAAATGGCACTGGCTCTTTTGCTTTTGATTGAAGCCACCCTGACTCTCAATTCTACTAATTGTTCTTACAGCTGTATAACGGAAGAAAAATTAAACTGCGCACAAGGGGGAAAAAATTCCAGCCATTGGCAACATCTAAGGTGGGATAAAAAGCTGAGGCTTGCTAGAATGTAGCACCCATCAAGAATTGTCGCCTGGGTGAAAGTCTGCATACAGTATGATACACCTGCTCTCAGGGTGGTTGATCTGCAATACAGTCACAGAAAGCAATGAACGGTTTTCTGTGGTACGTCTTCACCACTGCAGACAGTTAGTAGTCATATATTTCCGCCAAACATTTTCAGGATGAATCACTGCAGCAGGAGTTGGTGGATACGCCTGGTTGGCAGCCCATTATGATGTTTATGATGTATCCACAGAGGTTTGTGTTAGGCTTTCTCCAACATATCTGCCTCCTACAGAAACATAAAATCTTTCAGCAATGGCAGCTTGGTTTTCTGGGTTTGTTTTTGTCTACCCATGTCCCACACCTCCACCCCTAGCCATACTTTGCTGAAGAAAAACCAATCCTTTCCTCTTCTTCCTTATAATTGCTTTCTTCTCCTGGCACTCAGTCTCAAATATTTGCTTTAAGACAAACTACTCTTCTAGTAGACTAACACCATGGTGTTAAAAATGTGGCATGTTCATAAAAGGCAGAATAAGAAAGACAGGTGGGAATTGGAAAATTGGTCACCATCAGATGAATCAAACACATTTTGTCATGAAATGCCACTTCACTGTTAGACAGGGTGGGCCTACTTTGCCTACAGCCTACATTGGGAACACCTATGAGAAGATCCTGCTTATGCCGAAACTGAATCACACGGTAACAGCAGATGTAGGATTGACTCCACAGGCTACATGCATACATCCCATTATCCTATGAAAAAAGCGTAGTCTTCATCTAACTAAATATTCATCTAATACAACTCTGTTCAAATTATTGGACTTATGTTACACAATTTTCACTGCTTTCTCGCTCTCCCTCCTTCCCTCCCTCCCTCTCCCTCTCTCTCTCTCTCAGGTTGCCCAAGAGCCAAATTGATGAATTTCAAACAATGTATAAAATTATGCAAAGAACAATATGAAAATAGGTTAAAGTTAAAGGTTTGCTTTAAAGGTTAAAGCAAAGGGAACTTCTGGCTCAGCTGGCCATCCTCAGGTGAGGATGCAGAAAAAGAGGAAGGGATGTATTTCTATGATGCTCAAAGGAGCACACCAGAGGTGGTACTCAGCTGGTTCTGACCAGTTCTGGGGAACTGGTAGCGGAAATTTTGAGTAGTTCGGAGAACCGGCAAATCCCATCTCTGACTGGAGATTTTACAGTATCCTTCCCCTGCCACGCCCACCAAGCCACGCCCACAGAACCACTGAAAAAAATTGAATCCCACCACTGGAGCACATGTATATGTATGGGTGTGGGTGTAAGAGGAAGAGACTAGTATTTTCAGTAGGTGAAAATGAGCTTCGTGGGATTACATATTGGCAGTTTGAGAGAAGCTATTATGTATTGGCAGCACAAACTATGTGTTTTATATTTGTTTACTTTATCTTAGAAGTTATTTGAGGAAATTGGGTGATTTGCAGGAGGCAAAACGTTTTGGGTGCAAAAGAAGTTGCTCCCTAGTTTATCAGTTTGTCTTTCTTAGAAACAGGTATTTTGTTATGCTAGTAAGTTGGACAATTACCAAACTCTACAGACAGCCCTTTTGGGATAGTGCTCACCGCAGGTCTCAAAAATTCAAATGGGACTGTTAGCCCCCAAAACTAGAGACCTGAATATTGAATTTTAAGAAGATCAACCATCCTAAAAGTGGTATTTACATAGTTTATGGAATCCCAGGAGCCCTTCTGACCTCCAGCATGATATGTAATATTCCATGCATATCCCTTCCCATTCACTATACCCACACATCCCTCACCCTTCCTCACAATTCACCAATCCCCAGTGTCCAAGCAGCATATCTAGAACAAAGAGGAAGTCAGTGGTTTTCCCCTTCCTTCCCTTTTCTTCCCCAATGATTCAGATCATGGGGTTTCAGCTGCCATTGGCAGGAAGAATCCAGTCTTCTCTTTCTTGCTGCAGCTGATAAAATCCATCAGTTAGGTGATATGGGAGGGGCTTCCTGCAGCTTCCCAGTCTAAATACTGCATAGTCCAAAGCCTCCCAGGTTCTTAGGGTATATCTCATTTCTTGAAGCCAAGACTTAAATAACCCAAATTTATCTCTTTCATCTGAAGACTGCTGTGTCATAGTTGAGGATTTCTCCTGCAATTCTCATTTCTCCCCCCCTCCCCCCCCACACACTGTGCTTCCATAAATATTCTGCACATTTTGGCAACTCTCTGCATCCTTTGTTAAAATGGTACAAGTCTATTTACAAGGGAACAGGAGCGTTTGAACCAAGGTTTAATATAACCAAACTAAAAAACTAGAATTACAATCTCCTCACACCCCAAAGTTGGATGTTCCTCCTCCTGTCATCCCAAGCTGATCAGTATATGGGAGTTGGTGGTAAGAGTGGGGGGAAGGCCACATGCATATGTCAAAAGAATATGGAAGTGGGCAAGGGGCAGTTGCAATGGAGCAACATTGGCAGAGAATACACCCTGTCTACATACTGAGCAATGTTATTTCCTTCCAGGGGTATACCATAATCATTGTGGCAAGCTTTGTGGAAAAGGTTACACACTGCACTCTTAGGCATTAACCATCTCTCTAAAATTCAAAATTACCCTCCTGCTTCATCAGTGATGTGCTAACTCTTTAAATCCCTAAATTTTGGTAACATGGAATGCTTGACCGACTTCTACTTTCACACATCTGTCTGGCACACACTAGTATCATCTGAGATATGTTTTGGAATATCCAGGTAGATACAATGAATAGCACATCTGAGTTTTGATGCTAGTATATTCTTCCAAAGACAGATCCTATAAGGGGCTGTTCATTATATGCCCTCTTCTCTGGACAATAGTTGGCTCTTGGAGCAGAACATTCAGGAAAGTTGGATTGGCCAAACTACCCTTGTTTGCTGAATATGATCCTTGTCACAGTCTTTTGTATTTACATGTTAGCTGGTTTGAATCCTAGTAGTGAAAGGAAAATAGAAATTTTTGAATTGGTTTATTTCCAAATAAACACACATGCATACCTTTTATGAAATTGATTCCAAAATGATGTAATTTAAGAGCATCAAATTTCTGCTTCTTGTGTATGGGTAACAAATGATGAGACTAAAAATGCTGAAAGAATATACTAGAAACATATCATTGCCATCATCATCATCAATCGTCAACAGCATCATTCAATGCTTCGACCAATTGCTCCTCATTCTGCTGATACAAATGGAAGAGACATCAAAAAGGTACATATTTTATTTCCTACTACCCAAATCTCCATCCCAGGCTTATCCCAACATGGACAATAGCAGGAAAGACAGACTGAAATGCAAAAAGGGAAAGCAATGATATATGTCATTTCTGGAATAATAGGTTTGAGATGACTAAAATATACTTGCAATTTCTATTCTCATATAAAGAAAACAGTATCTTTCTTCCTGCACCATGAGCATCTTTCTTTTTTCGTTCCTTGTCTCCTATCACTGGTATTTGCATTTCAGTATATTATTTACCTTCACAGAAACATAGGTCACACACCAAGATGTAATGATGTGTACTATTACATGACTCATCCTACAACTATGTGTCTGTCTATTACTTTTATGGATAAAATATTGGGACTCTTTTAAACAGTATGTAATTTATTACAAAAGCTAAAGTCTTTTAGAGAAAAAAGAAAAGTTGCTTATTATTATAAGCAAAAACCTTGGATTAAAATAAATCACAATTTTAATATGAATCCCTGCTTGATCTGCTACCTCAGATAAGCAAATGGACCAATGATTAATTGTGAAGCACTTACCCCATCATTAGGTTTCTAGATCTGCTTCCAACCAATGTATTTGACAGCTTCCAGGCCACTAAGCTACCTTCCTCCTTTATTGCCTGCAGAATAGGCACAATACTCCAAACTCCACATTTTTTCAGAGGTTGGAGGGGCATTTCTGATGATACAGTACTTAACTTTTGGGGTGGAGGGGTCCTTTGAATGAGTGTTGACTCCTGGCAATTGCCTGGACTAGTCTCTGCAGTTTTGTTGGCAAGACCTAGAGAAGTGGTTTGCCATTGGCTGCCTCCTAAAGCTGAGAGAAACTGAAAAGCCCAAGTTTTACCCAGCTGGTTTTATACCTAAGGCAGGATTAGAACTCCTGGTCTCCTGGTCTGTAGCCCAGTGTCTTAACCATGACATCAACTGCATATATTATATATAGCAGTTGAAGAAGCTTCTTGGATGAGAAGCGAAATGTCTTCAAAGAAAAAGCAGAAAGTCCAGTTGCTTCTTGAAAAAGCACCTTTGGGACAGGACATAGAATGAACAGTTACAGGAACAGCGTATTTCTAACCTAAAGAAGAGAAAGACTAGCAATATAATAGCATAGAAAGATATAATAGCAATAGCACTTAGACTTATATAGTGCTTTATAGTCCTCGCTAAGCAGTTTACAGAGTCAGCCTACTGCCCCCAACAATTTGGGTCCTCATTTTACCCACCTCGGAAGGATGGAAGGCTGAGTCAACCTTGAGCCTGGAGGGATTTGATCTACCAAATTGCAGTGGGAGTAGTTAGCAGTACTGCACTCTAACCACTGCACCACGGAGACTCCATAATAACAGTCTTCTAATATCTGAGGGACTGTCACAGAGAAGTGTGGGGGGGGGTGTTGACCTATTCTCTAAAGCAGGGGTCCCCACCCCACACCCATGGCCTATTAGGAATCAGGCCACACAGCTGGAGGTTAGTGGTGGGTAAGTGAGCAAACCCCAAACCATGCCCCCTTCCCCCTCCTGTGGAATTTTTGTAGAAAAATTGTCTTTGGACTAGAAGATCTCCAAGGTCCTTTCCAATTCTGTTGTTTTGTATTCTAAATGTACATCTCCAGCTGACCCCTTTATTTTTTCTAAGCAGCATTTTTTTTAAAAAAATGTGCATTAAGTGAAGCACTCTGGTCTTTGCATTGCCATCAAACAGCTTTTAGTAGCAAGGAATGGGAAGTAGAAATAAAGAGAAAGCCACTGAGTTTGAGGTCACATAGTTTTTTATCTACGATTTATAGCAGTTGCCAGATGGAAGTAAAGCAAATATAAATTACTCAGGTAAAGAAAATCAGACAGTGCATATGCATGCTTGAACCCAAAGTATCATTTCTGTCTTTTGTAATCTCTCTCTCTCTCTCCGTCCCTCCCTCTCTTTTTCCTTGAGAAGATATATAAGGGAGGATTTCCTGGGAAAGACATTTTATGTTTTACAACTAGCAAATCAATCTGTGATTTATCTTCAAAAGACACCTTGGATACAATTTTCTCTTATTTCCCTGCAAAGAAAGGATATTATTTACAGAAGATCTTGGACATGTTGAAGAAATGCTTGGGGGAGTATTGGATCATGCAAAATCCATAGACTTTTCCTTGCACCCCCACTGTTGGCCTTTTTTGACATGTGAGTTTGGATGTTGAAAAGAATCGAAGTCAAAAAGGTTAAAGGATGAATCTAACATACGTTTCCCCCATCTGTGGAGAAAATGATCTTGCCCCCTTAGAGAGGAAACTGAAATTATCCTATGATGCTGGAATGTCTTCCCAGGGACCACTAAACTGCAGATTTCATTTACTTCTTTAAAAATGGATGATGTGCTGTCCACTGCAATATCAACAGCCCTTCTGCTTTATATGTCAGCTTTACAAAGATGGCTAATAAGAGGGGCGGGGAAATAGGTGTCAGAATGAAGAATTGGAATCGAGATAATTTGGGATTAAAACTCCACTTTTCTATGAAGCTCCAGACAATTTTATGTGAGAATAAAACTCAAGACGGAGAAGAAAGAAAGTGTTGTTATTTTTTAACCTGAGCTTTTAAGGCAAAAGAAAAAAGTAATATAAATGTAAATACTGTACATCAATCATTCCCCAAAGGAAATATCCTTTATAAACGAGAGACATTCTGCAATGAATTTAGGTTTAAGTTAAACATACTAAGAGTTTATCACTTTTATCCTTTGTTTATACAGTATGTGTTCCTCTTCCAGATATATCTATGCTTATTTCAGCTGTAAAATGGGCCTTACTTTGGAAATACTCATCCAGCCATACTTAGTAAAATAAGCTAGAATTGCTTATTATTATTGTTATTTTCCACCAAGCCCTGGATTCATTGGGATTTGTCCTAGTAGCACAGTCATTTAATAAAACTTCATTCCAGCAGAGGAGGCCCTTACTGCTATTCCCTTAGTGTGAAGCTAGTATAGGAAGTTCAGGCATTTCATCTTTAGCAAAGGAGAAAGCTGGCACAATAATCAAGCTGTGATTGGGAACAGAGTGTGGTACTTAATTAAGGCTCCGTCTTTTATTCTCAGGAGGCAATTCAGCTGGGCTTGAATAAACTAGAGGACCAGGGCATGGTGGGAATGTCTTTCGAAGGAGCAGGAGAATTGGGTCTCCCGGGCTGCCTCATTAGCATGACAATATCCCCCAGGATGCACTTGGCATGATGTAATGCTCAGAATTAGAGAGATGAAAATGTTCCTTGCAGGGGGCTGCAACATTTGCAGTGCGCACTGGCTGTTACTTCGGGGCATGGAATTTCTGGGTCCGTCTTTCGGCAAAAATTGTTTGCTAATTGAGAGAACTTAAGCAAACAACATGCTATTAACTCCCCCTCCCTCCTCCCAGCTTTTCTCAAGCAGCACTAAGAAACCAGCAACCTTGGCGATACTCATCGCAAGAACTTAAGAAGCTGAACCATTCTACCAATAGTACCTCTTAACTCTTTTGAACAAATTCTGCTTCAAAAGAATTGTAATGACCTGCGGGGAGCACAGAAAAAGCCTTTTCACTCTTAAGAAAATATACAAGAAAATCTGACATTCAAAATGCCTCTAAGCCAGTGGATAGCCTCTATGGTGACATCCCTGTGAAGAAATTCAAAACATAGAGCCATTTTGCAATAGAGCAGTTATCTACCAGGCCTATTTTGCAATCCATTGCCACCTCCCAAAATTCATTATAGGAATGCCATGAAACACATTCACACCTTGAAAACCTTGCTGGTGGATATAGATATCCAGGCTCAAGTTTCATTACCTCCAGTTGCCAGCATCTGTGGATCCTTTGAAGGCTGAAAAAACCAGCATAGATTAGAGAGAAGTGTTGAAAGGACAACTAGTCTACTCTCTTAAATGATATGACCAAATACTAAAAACTATACTTCCAACAGGGCGAACTGGTGACATTTAAATCTAAAATTCAAATTTAGATTTAAAGTTAAATCTAAAGTTCATATTAAGACAGAGAAAGACTGATAGATTGCTAGAGGAAATAGGGATGGCTATTCTGTTTCTGTGTTCATTTTCAGTGTCATTTAGATTAAGATCATTTAGATCAGTGTCATTTAGATTGTGCTGAGGCCCTAAAATAGAAATTAATTCTCAGAGTTGGGGCTAGCAGCTGCTAAAAGTTGAGGCTAGCAGCTCCAAATTTTGGGGAGCAGTTGGCCACAGTTGGGGCTAGCAGCTGCTAAAAGCTAGCAGCAGTAGGAAAGAAAGAGTGAAGAACCTTTTGTTTGTGAAAATGAGTATAGAAAATTAGCAGAGTTATGATTGGTCTACAAGCTGCAGTTGGGACACAATTGTGGTGGCCAATTTCTAACTGGGGTCTCTGTGTATCATGTTACCATCCCGTGGAAGCAATCAGGCTACTACTGATTAACTGCTAAGCCAACCTGGAAGTTTTGCATATGATTTTGTACAACTGCAATATCTAAAGTGCCACCTTTATCAATGCAAATTGATGGTAAAGACTGTAAGGCATAGGATGATTGTATACAATCATTTTATCTTGCAGATAGTACCTGTGCTCAGCAGTGTCCTCTGCCTTGAAATCCTTGAGGCATCAATTTTTAGGTTCCTGTTGAAGATATATTTCTTTGCTCTGTTCTTTTCTTTGTATTAATTGAAGTGTCCTTCCTTCCTTCCTTCCCTCCCTCCTTCCTTCCTTCTTTCTGTGATTGATAATTGATGCTGATGATGTTGTTGAAGATAGATAGTTAATTGATATTCCATTTTATTGTGTACAGCACTTCTAATTAATTTAAAATTTTATCACTTGTCCAGTGACTTCATGTCTATTTATTTATACATTGACAAAATTTATATTCCATCTTTTCTTTAGGAATGCAAGACGCTTATAGGGAGGCAGGTATCTACTTTAATTTTATATGT